GACATTAAAAAGTACCAAAGAACTTATATGTATACATGCACAACCAATCGACAAGGACACTAGGCTGGGGAAGGCAGGAGGGGGGTGGGAGCGGGAAGGAGGGGTCAATGGGGAAAAGGGAGGACATCTGTAGTGCAGTTATTTGTGTTGTAATATAAATATTAATTTTAAAAAACTGAGTTATTTTTTTAAAAGTACTATGAATTTAACCCATATGTTGAACCATTTAAGTAAAGACAGTGAAGATATTAAAAAGTTACAAATCATATATATATATATATGAGATATATGTATAATGTATATATGTATGTATATGAGGAGATACATATGTATCTCCTCACCTGAGGACATGGCTTGTTTTTGTTGTTCATTGATTTTAGAGGGAGAGGGATGGGGAGAGAAAGAAAAAAACAACATTGATGGGATACAGAGACATCAATCAGTTGCCTTTTGTATGCACCTTGATGGGACTGAACCCACAACCTAGGTATGTACCCCGATTGGGAATCAAACCCACAACATTTTAGTGTACAGGACAGTGGTGCAACCAACGGGGCCACCGGACCAGGGCAAAAGATACAAATCATGTATTAATTAGCTGGGGGGGGGGGAGGGGGATTCTCTCACAATGTGTATCAAATCACCGGGCTGTACTTTAAATATCATACAATTTTGTCAAGTGTACCAAAATAAAGATAAAAAAAAATTCATAATCAGAAAAAAAAAAAAGATCCAAATTAAACTTCTAAGGAGAAAAACTACATCCCAAATAAAGATTATATTAGAATTGCTTATTTAAACACTGCAGAGAGCCTGGCCAGTATGGTTCAGCGGTTGAGCATTGACCCATGCACCAAGAGGTCGCCAGTTCGATTCCTGGTCAGGACACGTGCCCAGTTGTGGGCCCGATCCCCAGTGGGGGGCATGCAGGAGGCAGCCAATTGATGTTCTCTCTCATCGATGTTTCTCACTCTCTCTACTTCTCCCTTCCTCTCTCTCTAAAATCAATAAAAAAAAAAATTCTTTTTAAATAAACACTGCAGAGAAAAAGATTAGTGGACTTGAAGACACATCAATAAAACTATCCAAAATAAAACCCAGAGAAAAAAGAATTTAAAAAATAAATAGCACATCAATGACCTATAGGACATCAATCAGTATCATGTAAGTGTAACTGGAGTTTCCAAAGAGTAAAGACAAAAAAATTTTCTTGGCCCTGGCCGGGTACTCAGCTGAGCATTGTCCCAATATGCTAAGGTTGTGGGTTCAGTCCTCATCGGGGCACATACAAGAATAAACCAATAAATGCATAAGTAAGTGGAACAACAAATGGGGGTTCTCTCCCCCACACCCCCCCCACCTTCCTCTCTCTTTCTAATATCAGTTTTTAAAAAAATGGTATTAATAATGGCCACAATTTTCTGAATTTGATGAAAATGATAAACCATGCAGGTTAATGAACCTCAAGCAAAAAGAACATAACAAAAATTACACGAAGGCACATCGTAATCAAATTGTTCAAAACCAGCCAGACAAAAATTACACATTATGTACATGACAGCAGATTTCTTATAGAAAAAAATGCAAGTGAGAAAGCAGAGGAGCCACATTTTAAAAAAATTTTTAATTTTTTTTAAAATCCTCGCCCAAGGATATTCTCCCATTAAATTTAGAGAGTGTAAGGAGAGAGAAAAAAATATCCATCAGTTGCCTCCCACACTTCCCCTGATGGGGACCTGGGACCAAACTCACAACCTAGGTAGGTGCTCTGACTGGGAATGGAATCCGCTACCTTTCTGTGTATGGTATCACATTCAACCCACTGAGCCACACTGGCCAGGGCTGAAGCCACATTTTTATAGTATTGAAAGAAAAAATTGCCAACTTAGAATGCTATATCCAGCAATAAAACATATTTTTAAAATGGTGAAAAAGCTCTGGCCGGTTGCTCAGTGGTTAGAGCATCGGCCCGTGGACCAATGAGTCGTGGATTCGATTCTAGTCAAGGGCACGAACCTCGGTTGCGGTTCATTCCCCGCCCTGGTCAGGGTCACGTGGGAGGCAACCAGTCGATGTGTCCCTCTCATGTCAATATTTCTCTCTCTGTCTCCCTCTTTCTCCCTCCTCCTACTCTATCTAAAGATAAATGGAAAGATGTCCTCAGGTAAGGATTGAAAAAATTTTTAAAATAAATTTTTTTAAAAAAATGGTGTAAAACACTTTTTCAGACATGCAAAAGCTAAAATAATTCATCACCAGCAAGCCTGCACTATAAAAAAAATATATCAAAAGAAATTCTTCTGGCAGAATACTAGATGGATAAATGGATCTACACAAACAAAAGAAGAGCTACAGAAATGGCACTGTTGAAAAATATGCAAGGTATTTTCTTATTTAAATCTCCTTAAAAGAGCCCTGGCCTGTTTGGCTCAGAGTGGTTAGCACGTTGGCCCCCAGACCAGAGTCCTGGGTTTGGTTCTCGCTAAGGGCTCATGCCTGGGTTGCAGTTTGTCCTGGGCCCTGGTTGGGGTCATGAGGGTGGCAACCACTTGATGTGTCTCTCTCACATCGGTATTTCTCTCTCTCTCTCTCTCTTCCTCCCTCTCTCCCTCTACTCTTCTGAAGATGAATGCAAAAATGTCCTCAGGTGAGGATTAAAAAAAAAAAAATCTCCTTAGAAGAAAATCTGTTTTTAACAGCAGTGTGGGGCTTATACATATGTAAATATAAGGTGTATAAACAGCACAGCCTCTAGCAAACCTAGGTGCAGGGGGGAAGATACTATAACTATAGTTTTACAAAAATTACAAGAAATACTACATACAACTCTATTAACAATGAAGAAAGATACAAAAATTGTTAATTTTTAAGAAAGATTCAATGTATCCAAATTGACTCCTGAGAAAGTAAAAAACACAAACAGATCAATAACCATAAAGAAAACGGAGAAGGCAATCAGTTACATCTAAGACTCCAGTAGTTTTATAAATGAGCTCAACAGGTCTTCTAGAAACAGAATTCCTGTACTATTCAAATTTTTCCCAGGGTGCTGAAAAAGATGAGCTTATCAACTCACTCTACAAAACTAGCAGAAGCATAATTCTAAAACCAAACTAAAATAAAACAAATTTTTTTTAAAAGCCTCATGTATACAGATACAAAACATATTAAAATTCTGAAAACTAAATAGAATTATAGAGTGTATTAAATGCACACTATATGGAGATACATAGTTTTAATAGAATGCAATAATGGTTCAATATTAGCAAACCTATTTAAAAAAATGTTTCTATGTTGAAGCCTCCTTTTAAAATTCAATTATTTGATACATGTTCCTTCATCCATTCATCAAATATTTATCAAGGAGCCCTGTCCGGGTGGCTCAGTTGGTTGGAGCATCATCCTGTACATCAAAAGACCGTGTGTTTAATTTCCAGTTAGATACATATGTAGGTTGCGGGCATAATCTCGTTAGGACATGTATAGGAAGCAAATAATCAATGTTTCTCTTGCTCCTCCTCCTTCCTCTCTCTCAAATAAATAAAAACATATCCTTGGAGACAAAAAAAAACTTGCCAAATGTTATATATATATATGCCAGACATTAGATACTTCAAATTCAGTGAATAAGATATGGTCTCTGCCTTCATGGAGCTGTCTAGAGATACAAATAAAAAATAATTAAAATATGGTATAAAGGCTATGAACACAGAAATACAGTATATTATGGGAATACACAAATTTGCACTTAAACAATAAAGCGCAATTGGAATAATCCTGTTGCAGCGATTGCCCATTCTAAGGTGGTGGCTGTCGATAAAAGGAAAGTGGTATGCTTACGGGTGATTGGATGGAGAAGGGTAGTCAGATTCTTTCGAGGGAGGGAGGTGTCTAAACATGTGTTACGTGTAAGAGTAGAACATGGGTCAAGTAAATGCGGAAAATACGAGGTTAAGTATAAAGAGATCTCTTCACTGGAGTGCTTGTCAGCAGCTTTATGGTGTTCTTTATTGTTCTCGAAGAGAAAGTCACAGGAAGTACATGTTTACGGAACATTTCATTACCCCATTTCACAGAACATCATGTAAGTGTTTAATGGAACACACTGGGAGAAACTGCTCTCCACAACCTCCTGTAGCTCTCGAAATCTAGGTAAGTTCTCTCACCAGCTAGTCAGCTCTTTAGGAATGTCCTGTTCTATTCCTTTACACAGTATAGTTAGTTTGGTTCATTTCAACTAGGTGAGATTAAAGGGAAAAAGATTCATTGGAACCTCACAAGGTGTGTCCCAAAAGCCACTGAAAAGAAAAAAAAAAAAAATTCTGAACCAGTTAATCAATATGAAAGGATCTGATGCTCAGATAAGAGACAATAATGCAGTATTAACCTTTGTTAATATCTACAAGTGCTATTGAGCAAATGTTCATATAAGACACTTGAAAATAACAGGTTTATTGAAAATAAATCCTTCGGTTAAACTGCTTGAGAAAACACACTTTTGATCTTAAAGCTATGCTGAATAGTTGGGTAGCTCCATTCTAGAGAAAAATAGCATGCATTTAGAAACTGAAACCTGGAATGTACATAAACTAGAGACCAGTGGGATTAGCTTACAGTGCTTGGAATAATCCATGTGGCACCGAAAACCTGACTCTAAATTCAGTATGTGTAAAATGTGTATTTCTAAGATGCTCTAAAAAACTGATATTCTTAACACCAGGCAACCACTGAATAGAAGTATGTTGCTAATTTATCTGTGTACAATGCTTCCACAGTGACATCAAACAAAATCAGAGCCCTGGCAGGTGTGGCTCGGTTGTGCATTTATCCCATCTACCAAAAGGCTGCCAGTTCAATTCCCGGTCAGGGCACATGCCCAGGTTTCAGGCTCTATGCTCAGCAAGGGGTGTGCAGGAGGTGGCAGCCAATCGATGTTCTGCTCTCACATTGATGTTTCTCTCTCCCCGTCTCCCTTCCTCTAAAACTCAATAAAAATATTTTTAAAAAGAAGACACATACTCATTTATATGTTTTCAATATATTAAAAAGTAACAGTACAAATGCTGTAGTTATTAAAAAGGATCCAAATATATCAAGGAATGAATCTGCATAAACAAATTCTACAACGAAAGGAAAACATTGTCGATACATAAATGTTTTGTTAAACAAGATTTTTAAAATTTTAAATCAGAAAGTATTTAAGACTTAACTCTTTCAAATGTTCAAACAAAAAGACAACATGTGCAATCCCCATAACAAAATATGTCCTTGCCCACATGCCCTGGGCACTTTGAAAACTGTACATTTTTAAAGTCTGAGTAATCGAGGCAGCATTTAAAGATTTTGTGAACCTTTCCCAAACACGTATACTTTCAATAAACCATTTTATCTGACTGTGCGTTCCAGGAAAGGGGGATTTACACTAACGCTGTATTTTTAATATTAAAAAAAAAAAAATACATTTAGAGATATTTAACTTCCTGAGTGACTTCAGTTATTCAGTCAAACATGATTTAATGAGAAAATTCTAACATTTTAGAATGAAATAGCAAGTGTAGATTTACACTTGGATGTCCGATCAGGGTAAAACTCAAAGGGCATGTCACAGAACTTACACTTATGTTCTCTATGTAGTTAAACAATATGATTTATCCCCAAATTTTACCAATAAACTTTCTCAAATATTAGTAAAATGAATCACTGAAATTACATTTTCTTACTCATTAACAAAATACTACTGTATTTTAGACTACCAACTTGAATGCTTTCTATTAATACACAAAATGTGATTCACTAATAAGCAGGTTCTTGTAATACAATAGGTAGCAGATCATTAAAATAGTTGCTTTATAATACAACAAGTCCATATAATACATCCCTTCCTCAATGTCCGAAACAATCAGGAATTGTGGCACTTTCTTTTGCATAAAACCCTTTCCTCGTCATGAAACCCTGAGGTGAAAGGTTATTAATGTAAAAACTAGCACCACAATTCTTCTCATTTCTCTAACTATAGATACAGGTTTTTAAATTTTTCACAAAGAAATGTGGCAACTTGTAAAACTGTTCTCTACAGCTTTAACAGAACACCCCGGGCCCCTCAGTCAGCGGGCCTGGGAGGAGCCCACCGCAGAGCCGCGGGCCCGCGTCAGTTCCGAGAGGAGTGCCATTTCCTAGCTCTGCCGCTGTCTCTCCTGTTGTCATGGTCGTGGCTCCAGCCGTCGTGATTCCTGTCTTCATAGAAGAAGTCGTCTCTGTTTCCTCTGTAGTGATGGTCAGACCCATGGTCACTGTAACGCTGCTCACGGTTGTGATGTCGGTCTGCTGTCTGGGGGTAAGCATGTCTGCCTTTCCGCTGTGCTGATGGTGGATCTTGACGCCACTGGGAGCTTGAAGACTGGTTAAAACTATGGTTATGTGACTGAACGGACGGGGAAAATCCTGATTGATCAAGATGTGGAGAACCAAATTTCCCACCATACGACCTCTGTCTCAAAACATTGTTCATCTGAGGGAAGAGAAAAAGAAGGAAATGTTAACTGCAAATATTTCTACATATCAAAGCCAACAGCTAGTTGGTCAGGTAACCAAACCAATAATGCTAGAAAAGCAAAATTACTCTTGCCTAGATGGATCTTAAGTTAAACAGAACTAAAAGTAGTACAGTAGCTTCATTCATTCCACTGTACAGCTACAAGATATTTACACATAACTACTACTCCTTACCCTCAAGGATACAACTGAGAAGGGAAGATATCATACAAAATGAACAAAAGAGCCAGGAGCTCAGTCTCACTAGGAAAGGCTTCATGAAGGTGGCATATGACCTGAATGTTAAAGTATGAACGCAATATATATTTTTTTTATCCTCACCTGAGGACATTTTTGCATTCATCTTCAGATAGAGGGGGAGTGAGAAAGGGGGGAAGAGAGAGAAACATCGATGTGAGGGAGACACACCGAGTGGCTGCCACCCACATGACCCCAACCGTGGCAGGGGACAAATTGCAACCAAGGTATGTGCCCTTAGCAGGAACCGAACCCAGGACTCTCCGGTCTGCGGGCTGACGCTCTAACTGCTGAGCCAAACCAGCTGGGGCTGAATGCAGTATTTTAAGGAAAATATTTTAAGTAGGGAAGTATGCCAAGGAAAGAAAACTGCAGAAACAACAGGGAAACACTGAATGGATTTACAGGATAGCAAGTAAATTCTGGCTGAAACAGGTCAGAGATCTCATAAACAGTGAATGCACAGTAAGGCTAGAAAGATTTATTTGAATTAAACCATGAAAGTGCCTAATAAGTAGGCTAAAGAATTCTGACTTTATCTTGTAAACACTGAAAAATCAAATTGCCAGGAAGACAAGAAAAAGACTTATAACATTAAATTTCAAATGGTGTGCGAGGTAGACCAGTGAGGATAAAATAGAGACAAGTAGTAGCTGACGAGACAAGTGGTTCCCAAATTCTATCTGTGAATAGATATCATTAGCCAATGATGATTTTCTTCAACAGTGTAGAGCAAAATGAGACAACTACATAATATGTAAATAAAATACTGATACTGCTTTATATTGGTTTCTCCAATTTTACTTTATTTCACTGTTGTATTTTGTAGATCTGTGAAATTCAAAAGGCTATGGATCGCAAGCCAAGATTGTAATTTGGGCAAAGAAAATAAAAAGAAATGAATGTAAGAAAAAGAAAAAAATGAAGGACTTGGCAGCAGAAAGGAAACAAAGATAAAATAGTCTCATGGTGACACTACAGAAAAAAAAATGGAACAAGTGGCAGCCAGTTTAGAAGACTCCAGTACATTCAAGTATTAGTAATAAGTATTAAAGAGGATGTATGATAAAGAAAAAAGTCACTCAGCATAGGATTGCAAGAACAGAGAATGAATTTCAAGTATTTGAAACACACAAACACACATATAATCCCCCAACTGATGAAGAAAAATAAAAATGTGAAATGCAGTTTTGTCTATCTTCAATTTTTAAATATATATGCCAGGGAAAATTAAAACTTGTGATCAATCTAGAGATTTCATACTTGTCTAAAATTTAAAAGTAATTTAAAAATTATCTCAGATCCAAGATGGTGATGCAGTAGGTGAAAGTTACACTCACCTCCTCCCAGGACCAAAATGAAATACAACTAAATTATAGAACAATTGTTCTGAAGAGCCAACCAAGGACTCACAGAAGCAGCCACACTGAGACAGGTAGGAAGGGCAGAGATGAGGAAGGGCTGGCCTCGCTCCCACGGGCAGTGGCTGACATTCTGGAGGGACAGCTCAGCTGCAAAGGTCCCCCCCCCCCCCGCATGAGTGTGGGCTCTAAACCCTGCCCAGATCACCAAAGCTAAGAAGCGCCCACATAACATCTGCCTGTGAAAATCAGTGCGGATTCTGTCCGATTCTGTCCGCCAGGAAGACGGGAGTATGCTAGAGACAGACACCCTCTTAAAGGGCCAGAGCACAAAATGGTATTTGCAGTCGCTCACCCTGGGCTCCAGCAGGGGTGGGGGAGCTGACTGGAGCTGTGTGAAGAGAGACTGGTACTTGTGTCCCTGGGAAGGAAGCGGAAAGGACAGCTGCCATGATACCTGCGCTGACGGATTCTCCCACACTGCAGACTCAGATGGTATTAGTGACTGACTTATGTGGCATTGGGGAGGGGGCCATCCCCCCCATTTTCCCATGAACCTGACTGGCTCCTTCTCATGTGAGGTCCACTAGTCCTACTGTCCAGGCTCCCATTGGCCCCACTCTCCTGACTCCCGGTGGCTCCATCCTGCTGAGGTCTGGGCAGATCCAGGACAGACTGACTTGTGTGGCTTTGGGGCAGGGGCCACACCCTCCACCTTTTCCCAGGCCTGACCTGCACCTCCTGCTCATGGGAGATCACTAGCCGCATCCTCCCAAATCCCAGAAGTCCCACCTTGCTGAGATCAGGCTCCTGGTAAAATCTGGGACAGACCGAGTTGAGTAGCCCTAGTTTGGGGGTCATATTTCCCTCAAACACCCACGCAGTGGAGAGTCATTTTACATAGCCAAAGCTCGGTCTGCTTAGGCCTGATAAACTCTGCTGGCCTCACCCTGATGACTCCCCCAAACCCCAATACACCACAACACAGCGTGAACACCCAGTGGGTGGCAGCTAGATGTGGCATTTCTGGAGACATTTGTTGAGTGGCCTCAGACTGAGCACTGGCACTGAGTCTGAACCTGTATCACTCTGGTGAACACCACTCATCCCTACCTGATGACTCATTGAGAACCAACCCCATGCAACTCAAGTACCGCCAGGCGTTCTTCCAGTAACAGGCAGCCGACAGGCAGAGGGAGGCGAAGGCAGATGTTGGGGTGATATGAGACTTTTGCTGGCCTGTCCCCAGGCCCAGTGCTAATAAAAGCTGGGCTTGGGCCCTGGCCAGTGTAGCTCAGTTGGTTGAACGTTGAGGTCCTGGTTTGATTTTTGGTCAAGGCACATGCCCGGGTTGCAGGCTTGATCCCCAATAGGGGGCGTGCAGGAGGCAGCCGATCCACTGAAAAGTTGCCAGTTCAGTTTCTGGTCAGGGTGCATGCAGGAGAAAAATAATAGATGTTTCTCTCTCTCTCCCTAAAAAAAAAAAAAAAGTCAATAAAAACATAAAAAAAAGAGCTGGGCTTAGTGCATAGCTTAGTTCTTCCTGGGCATCCCCAGGCACAGCAAAGGCAGCCACAAAATGTGGATTACTTTGTAGCTCCTAACAGGTTGCCCAGGGCCAGAGACAGGCAGCATCAGACATTGGCCTGCACCAGAGTCCCTCCCAAGAGAACCCAGAACCAACATACCCAATGATCAGCTTTGGGTAACATAGGGCAGGATCCAATTAGCTTCACAAGGAACATATCCAAAGGGAGATCTCAGCAGGCACAAGACCCTGCTGGCACAAATTCTGCATCGTACAGTCACCACCTGCACAGCAGCTAATAAACTGAAATACAGGTTGATCCTCATAGTCAGCCAGCCTGAGGGGCAACCCCACAAATTCGCCAATAAAAATGAAGACTCAATTACAACAGGAAGGCCTACATAACTCACATAAGGGTTATTCCTGGAGCACTCAGCTCAGGTGATCAAGGACAGTGCACCTCTGGGTCCCACAAGACACCTACTACATAAGGCCACCCTAACAAGACTGGAAGTCACAGCAGATCTACCTTAGATATCGAACATAAAAAAGAACAAACCACTAGGCAAATATGGTTCAGTGGATTGAGTGTCGTCCCATGGACTGAGAGGTCCTGGTTTGATTTCCCGTCAGGGCACATGCCCAGGTTGCAGGCTTGATCCCCAGTAGGGGGCACGCAGGAAGCAGTCGATCGATGTTTCTCTCTCTCCTTTCTTATCTAAAAATAAAAGAATACCAGCTGGCTTTAAAAAGAACCAGTCAGAAATAAAGAATATGGTATCTGATTGGAAAAAACACTAGAAGGAATAAACAGTAGGGTGGATAAAGCATAGGATCAAATCAGTGATTTGGGAAACAAGGTAGCAGAAAATACCCCATCAGAGCAGAAAAAAATAGTACTAATTGAAAAAAATAACTAAGATAGTTTAATGGACCTTCTGGTAAACATGCAGCGTAACAACATCCGCATCAAACAGGTACCAGAAAGACAAGAGAGAGAGCAAGGATCAAGAATCTATTTGAAGAAATAATGACTGAAAACTTTCCTAACCTGATAAAAAACAAGACACATAAGTGAAGGAAGCACAGAGAGACCCAACAAGATAAACCCAAAAGGCCCACACCAAGACACACTGTAATTAAAACAGCAAAGGGTAAAGACAAAGAGAATCTTAAAAGCAGCAAGAGAAAGACAGTTACCTGCAAGGGAGCTCTCATAAGACTGTTAGCTGGTTATTCAACAAAAACATTTCAGGCCAGAAGGGTCTAGCATGAAATATTCAAAGTAATGAAAAGCAAAGACTGACAACCAAGACTACTTTTTCCAGCAAGACTATCATTTCAAATGGAAGAAGAAATAAAGCGCTTCCAGATAAGAAAAAGCTAAAGGTGTTTATTACCACCAAACCAGTATGACAAGAAATGTTAAATGTCTTCTTTAAGCTTGGCTGGTGTGGCTCAGTGGTTGAGCATCAACCCATGCACCAAGAGGTCCCCGGCTGGATTCCCAGTCAGAGCAAATGCCAAGGTTGTGGGCCAAATCCCTAGTGGGGGGCATGCAGGAGGTGGCCAGTCAATGTTCTCTCTTATAAATGCTTCTCTCTCCCTCCCTCCCTTCCTCTTTCTCTAAAATCAATAAAGGAAAAAAAAAAAGGGTCTTCTTTAAGGTAAATGTTGTGAACCTAATACCTGTATAATTACGTTAACCAGTGACACACCCAATAAATTCAATAGTTAAAAAAATAAAATGGCAATCAATACAAACCTATCAATAATCATTTTATATGTAAATGTCTTAAATGCTCCAATCAAAAGGCATAGGGTAGCTAAATGGATAAGAAAACAAGGCAGCCCAGCAGGTGTGGCTCAGTGGATTGAGTGTCCTCCCACGGACTGAAAGGTCCTGGTTCGATTCCCGGTCAGGGCATATGCCCAGGTGCAGGCTTGCTCCCCAGTATGGGGCATGCAGGAGGCAGCTGACTGATGTATGTCTCTCACATCAATGTTTCTATCTCTCTCTACCTCTCTCCCTAAAAAAGAAAAAAAAGAAAAAATCAATAAACACAGACACACATATATATATTCTGTCTACAAGAAAAACACCTCAGAATGAAAGATACACACAGACTAAAAGTAAAGGAATAGAAAAAGATATTTCTTGTTAATGGGGGGGGGGCTGAAATGGAAATACTTATATTCGACAAAATAGACTTTAAAACAAAAGCTATAGTAAGAGACAAACAAGACACAACATAATGATAAAGAAAGCAACCCAACAAGAGGATATACCCTTATGCACCCAACTTTGCAGCACCTAAAGATATAAGGCAAATATTGATAAACAGACATAAAGGAAAAGATCGACAGTAATACAGCAGTCACAGTAGGGGATTTTAACATCCCACTGACATCAATAGATAGATCTTCCAGACAGAAAATCAGCAAGGAAACAGTGGCCTTAAATGACACACTAGATCAGATGGATTTAATTGACATCTTCAGAGCATTTCAGAACAAAGTAGCAAAATATGTTCTTTTCAAGGGCAAACAGAAAATTTTCTAGGCTAGACCACCTATTGTGACAAAAAACAAGTCTCAATAAATTTAAGAAATTGTATCAAGCATCTTCTCTGACCACAATGGTATTGAACAAGAAATCAATTATACAAAAAACTTAACTGAAAAACACACAAAGACATGAAGGCTAAATAACATGTTACCAAACAATGAATGGGTTAACAATGAAATGAAGGAAGAAATCAAAAGCTATATTGAAACAAATAAAAATGAGAACACAACAAAAGGATTTCTAACAGGGAAATAAATAGTATTACAGGCCTACCTCAAGACACAAGAGCCCTGGCCGGTTTGGCTCAGCGGTTAGAGCGTCGGCCTGCAGTACAGAGAGACCCAGGTTCGGTTCCCGCTAAGGGCATGCACCTCGGTTGCAGTTTGTCCCCAGCCCTGGTTGGGTCGTGTGGGTGGCAGCCACTCGATGTTTCGCTTTCACGTCGATGTTTCTCTCTCTCTCTCTTCCTCTCTCTCCCTCCCACTCTGTCTGAACAAAAAATGGAAAAATGTCCTCGGGTGAGGATTAAAAAAAAAAAGTAAGTTTTACAAATTTGGTAAAAAAAAGACACAAGAAAAATCTCCAATTAACAATAAATTCTACACTTAAAGAAACAGAAAAAGAACAAACACCACCCAGAGTGGAAGAAAAAAACTGAAGAGCAGAGCAGAAATAAAATAGAGTCTAAAAAACAATACAAAAGGTCAATGAAACCAAGAGCTCATTCTTTGAAAAGATAAACAAGATTGACAAACTTATAACCAGACTTACCAAGAATAAAAGAGGACCCAAATAAATAAAATCAGAAATGGGAGAGGACAACTGACACCAAAGAATTACAAAAGATTGTAAGAAAATATTACAAATGAACAACTATATGCCTAAAACTGGATAACCAGGATGAAAAATATTCCTAGAAATATACAATCTTCCAAAACGGAATCCAGAAGAAGAAAATCTGCACAGAAATTACAACGAATGAAACTGAAGCAGTAATAAAAAAATAAAAAAAAAACTACTAACAAACAAAAGTCCTGGACCCCGGATGACTTTACAAGAGAATTTTCCCAAACAGTCAAAGAAGAACTAACACCTGTCCATCTCAAACTATTCCAAAAAATTCAAGAGCAGAGAAGAATCTCAAGCTAATTTTATGAGATCAGCATTATCCTAATTCCAAAACCAGATAAAAACACTAGAAAGAAAATTATGAGCCAATAACCCCAATGAACATAGATGCAAAAATTCTCAACAAAATATTAGCAAACCAAAGCCAGCAATCCATTAAAAAGATCATACACTATGATCAAGTTAGATTTATTCCAGGGATGCAAGGTTGGTACAATATCTGCTAATCAATTAGCATGATAAATCACATAAACAAAATGAAGGATAAAAATCACATTTTCATATCAATAGATATAGAAAAAGCATTTGATAAAATCCAGTACCCATTTATGACAAAAACACTCAGCAAAGTGGGAATAGGGAGAACACACCTCTATGCAATAGAGGCCATATATGACACACAGCCAACATCATACTTAATGGGCAAAAAATAAAGGCATTTCCCTTAAGATCAGGAATAAGACCAAGATATCCACTTTTTTCACTCTTATTAAACATGGTACGTGAAGTCCTAGAAATAACAATCAGCCAAGAATAAGAAATAAGATACCCATTGATGTTTCTCTCTCCCTCTTCCTCCCCCCTCACACCCACTCTATATGATGATAAATAGAAAAATATCCTCAAGCGAGGATTAAAAAAGTAAAAGTAAAAAGATATCCATCCAAATTAGAAAGAAGTAAAACTGTCACTATTTGCAGATGACATGCTACTGTATATAGAGAACCCTAAAGATTCCACCAAAATACTACTAGAAGTGATAAAAGAATTCAGTCAAGAAGGATACAACATTAACATCCAGAATCGGTTGCATTTTTATACACCAATAATGAACTATCAGAAAAGGAAACGAAGCCCAGCTGGTGTGGCTCAGTGGTTGAGCATCGACCCACGCATCAAGAGGCCGCCATTTTGATTCCCAGCCAGGGCACATGCCCAGGTTGTGGGCCCAGTCCCCAGTAGGGGGCATGCAGGAGGCGGCCAGTTAATGTTCTCTCTCATCGGTGTTTCTATGTCTCTCCCTATCCCTTCCTTTAAAAATCAATTAAAAAAAAAAAAGGAAACTAAGAAAACAATCCCATTTATAATTGCATCAAAACAAACAAACATAAAACCTAGTAATAAATTGAACCAAGGATTTAAAAGACCTATAACCCAGAAATGTATAGGACACTGAAGGAAGATACTGTCAATACAAATAAGCAGATGCATATACTGTGTTCATGAATAGGAAGAATTAACATGTTTAAAATGTCCAAACTACCCTAAGCAATCTATAGAGTCAATGCAATAGGAATTCCTATCAAAGTATCAATGGTGTATTTCACAGAAATAGAACAAATATTTCAAAAATTTATACAATTTTTGGAACTACAAAAGATACCACCATATAGCCAAAGCAATCTTGGAAAAGAAGAAAGTTGAAGGAATCAAGCTACCTGATATCAAAGTATACTACAAGGTCATAATAATCAAAACAGTATGGTACTGGCATAAAAAGATATACAGATCGATAGAACAGAATGAAGAACCCAGAAATCAACCTACTCCTTTATGACTAATTAATATTCAACAAAGGAGGCAAGAACTTACAAAGGGGTCAAGATAGTCTACAATAAATGGTGCTGGAAAAATTGGACAGATATGTGCAAAAATATGAAACTAGAGCACCTTCTTCTACCATATACAAGAATAAACTCAAAACAGATTAAAGACTTAAATGTTAGACCTGAAACCATAAAAATCCCAGAATAAAACATAGGCAGTAAAATCTCAGACATTTCTCATAGCAAAATTTTTTCTGCTATATTCCCTCAGGCAAGAGAAAGAAAAGAAAAAATAAATGAAACTACATCAAACTAAAAACAGTAAAGAAAATCATCAACAAAATGAAAAGACAACCCACTGAGTAGGAGAACATATCTGCCAAAGATACATGTGATAAGGAATTAATATCCAAAATGCATAAGGAAACTTACATGACTCAACACCAAAAACCCTGATAATCCAATTAAAATGGGCAGAGAGCCTGAACACTTCTCCAAAGAGGACATAAAGATGGCCAACAGACATGAAAAGATGTTCAATGCCACTAATCATCAGAGAAATGCACATTAAAACCACAGTGAGATACCACCTCACACCTGTCAGAATGACTATCAATAAATCAACAAACAACTACTGGCGAGGATGTGGAGAAAAGGAACCCCTGTGCACTGCTGGTGGGAATGCAGATGGGTGCAGCCACTGCAGAAAACAGTATGGAGTACCTCAAAAAATTTAAAAAGCTAACTCTCCTAAACCCAGCGACTCCACTTCTAGGAATACATCCAAAGAAACCCCAACCACTAATTCGAAAAAACATATGCGCCCTTATGTTCACTGCTGCATTATTTACAATAGCCAAGATTTGGAGGCAGCCCAGGTGCCCATCAGTAGATGAGTTGATAAAAAAAAATCTGTGGTACATTTACAAAATGGAATAGTACTCGATTGTAAAAAAGAAATAAATCTTACCCTTTGCAACAGTATGGATAGACCTGGAGAGTATTACCCTAAGTGAAATCTAATGAACAAAATAAACTAACAAACAAAACAGAAACAGACTCATAGAAGACAGACAGTAGACTGATGGGGGGGGGGGGAGAGGGTTTGGGGGCTGGGTGAAATAAGTAAAGGGATTAAGCAAAGAAGAAAACAAACTCATAGACGCAAACAACAGTATGGTAATTACGAAAGGGGGCTGGAGGAAGGTAGAGAAGAGTAAAGTGGGGATACATGGTGAGAGAAGGAGACTTGACTTGCGGTGGTGAACACACAACACAATGTACAATAATGTATTACAGAATTATACAACTGTAACCTATAATTTTATTAACCATTATCACCCCAATTTTTACAAAAAAGAATTATATGAACATTTTAAGTATGATTTTTTTTTAGCAACTCAAGTTGAAAAATCAGCCTACCACTGCTTGTCTCTGAAAGTTTTCTGGAGAAGAGAAAGATCTCTGAATTATCTGTGATGATGGAGACATGTTATCCACAGTCCTTTCATATCTGCAAAAATGTAAGAAAACCAACATATAATCAATCATTCAATAAGAATCTACTACATAGCAATCATGAGCAGACACAGATCTCAAAGGCAGAAATGAGCAAGATAAGGAGCTGGGGTAAGGACAAATAGACAGCTTCACGTAGTTGTAAGTGATATACTGAATGACTGTAAAGAGCAAGTAGAGGTAAGAGACATGGGAGGTTCTATTTTTGCTTGGCCTGTCTAAATAGACATTTGAAGTAAGACCTGAATAACAAGGTTACCTGGAAGAAAAACATTCCAACTGAGGGAAGGAATTGTACAGGTATGGGCAAACTATAGCCTGAGGGCCAAATGTTTTTTTGTAAACAGTTTTATTGGAACATCATAATGCTCTTTTGTTTTTGTATTATCTATGCAGCACTACAATGACAGAGCAAGAAACTGTATGACCTGCAAAGTCTAAAATATTAACTATCTGGTTCTCTACAGAAAAAAAATTTTTTTGTCAGTTCCTGCGCTAGTGCAAAGGCCTAGATGGAGAACTAAAATGAAAAGGATTTGACCAATTATACAGATGAGGGAAACAGAAGAAACGAAAAAAAAACAATCTAGATACTTAGCTTAAACAATTAAGTAGACATATACCAAAACAGGAGAGAGCAACAGGTTTGAGGGAGTAAGAAATTAAGAGTTCTGTAACATAAATAGAATTTTAAGGACTTACACTTTATTCCTCACTTCCTGAAGAGATAACTTGCTCTACAGAAAAACTCACTAAGAAAATATTATAAATTAACTATATTTTAAACATGCCTTTGAAATAAAATCACCAGTTGATTTGTCTAACAGTTTAGATTTTTTTGAGTTTTCCTAAATCAATTGCACACCTGTATACTAATGGGGTGAAAGGTGTAATTTTACTTATATTAAGAGTGTAAAAACAATGTACACTCTAGCCTTTGATTAAAAAAAGTACTGCCCTGGCTGGTTTGGCACAGCGGTTAGAGCGTCGGCCTGCGACCCGGGGAGACGCAGGTTCGGTTCCTGCTAAGGGCACGTAGCTCGGTTTGTCCCTGGGTGTGGACGGCAACCAGTCGATGTGTCTCTCTCATGTCGATGTTTCTCACTCACTCTTCCTTCCGCTCTAGCTGAAGATAAATGCAAAAATGTCCTCGGGTGAGGATTAAAAAAAAAAAAAAAGAAGAAGAAAGTACTTAATTGCCTATTTTCCCCCAAGAAATTCTAAGGAGATTCTAGGGAGCATAAAAGCTTTCTTCTCCATCTAAAATACCTCTGAAGGTTCTATAAAAGTGGGTGGAGATGCTTTGACTTACAACTGCACTGAGAAGTATCTAAACACAATTTCAGCTGGCAAGAAAGGACACTAAGAGGATACCTTTTTTGCACTATGCTTTTTTACAATTTCACCTTCCAATATCTTTTCATATCCATCCACTTCTCTTCAGCTCTTGGCACCACCCTGATCCAAACCATCGACCTCATCTCCAAAACTTTCTTGCTATTTGCTACCAGTAGCTTCCTAATTGGTCTTTCTATTTTCACCCTTGTCCCTCCTTATCCATTTTCCCATTGCAACCACACAACTCTTTAAAATACAAACCTAAAATAAATAAAATAAAATAAAATACAAGCCTGTTCCTATTACTACCCTACAGTTCTTAAGGTAAAACCCCAAAACCCAAATTATAGCCTATAAGAAAGACTCTGTATCATCCATCCTCTATCTACTTCACCAAAACCATCTACTACTCCCCATTTTTCATTCATTATGATCTAGGTACATTGTCCTCTTTTAAGTCCTCATTCCTTTTTATTGTCTCCCCTTGTTACAATTTTCTCCAAGCACTTTCTACTCCATTTTTACAGAACTAATTACAGTAATTAAATGGGTAGTCACAAAATACATACACTATGTGTCTTCATCTAGACATTAAGCTCTGTTAGGCAGAACATCATAGTGGCTGGGCTTGATCATACTGCCTCGGTTTGACTCCCAGCCAACTTAAGAGCAGTTCAAACTTGAGCAGATTAACCTCTAATCCTCATTTTCTTCATATACAAGAGATAATAATTCCTACCTCATAAGACTGCCTTGAGGAATAAATAAGATCATAAATGCAAAATATTTAATGAAGAACATGACACATGACAGTTATTTGTTTACTCTTTCTTTTTTTTTATCCTCACCCAAGGATATTTTTCCTTTTTTTTTTTTTGTACAGATAGAGTGGGAGGGAGAGAGAGAGAGAAACATCGACGTGAAGGGACACAACGAGTGGCTGCCACCTGCACGACCAACCAGGTCCGGGGACAAACTGTAACCGAAGTACGTGCCCTTAGCGGGAACCGAACTCGGGTCTCTCCGGACCGCAGGCCGACGCTCTAACAGCTGAGCCAAACTGGCCAGGGCTGTTTACTCTTTCTTGAATGAAGCCCATTGTGATTGATATATGGCTTACCAACAGAGTATATGATTGATATTCTCTATGGATATACCAGGAAAAACACTGTCCCTGGTAAAATGTCAGCCTCCCCAAAGCAAATAAAATTACGTAAATATAAATATGGTACCTTTTCTAACCCTTAGGAGCCTGAAAGGGATTTTAGAGATCATTCAATTCAACTGTTTTTCCTTACAAATGGAAGGATAGGAGCAGAGAAATGAGATTAGTCAAGATTACACAATTGGTAGAGGCAGACTTCAAATCCAATTCCATGAACTCTTAGTCCAATAGCCTGTTTATTAACAGGTATTTTTATTTTTTTATTCCTCACCCAAGGATACTTTTCTATTTAACATCAGATAGACTGTGAGGGAGGGGGAGAGAGAGACAGAGAGAAACATCGGTGTGATAGAGCCACATCAATCGGTTGCCTCCTGCATGACCCGACCAGGGCCGGGGACAAACTGCAACCGAGGAACATGCCCTTGGTTGGAATCGAATCTAAAAACTCATTGGTCTGCAGGCCAACACTCTAATCGCTGAGCTAAACCAGCCAGGGCTTAACACATAGTTTTAAACTGCAAGTAACCAATTAGTGGTCATAAACTAATTTAAATTTTAAAAGATAAAATAAAATGTTAATTGAGTACACTGAAGTAATAAGGGTAAGTTATGTTTTGTTTTTTTTAATTTTGTTTTTCTTTATTGCTTTTTAGAGAGGAAAGGAGAGGGAGAGATACAAACATCTATGAGAGAGAACATCAACTGGCTGCCTCCTGCATGCCCCCCACTGGGGATAGAGCCCACAACCTGGGCATGTGCCCTGACCAGGAAACGAACCAGGGACCTCTTGGTGCATGGGTCCACGCTCAACCACTGAGCCACACCAGCCAGGGCTCTGGTAAGTTATGTTTTGAGAAATTATGTTATATAGATGTATACGTGGGTGTGATATGTCTTTATAAATTAACATAAACATAGTTATATATCTACCTGTTCTAAGGGCACTATATATAATGTATATGTCTATAGTCCCCTTAGAATAGATGCATAAATAATTATAATCCAACATAGCAAATAATATAGCAGAATAATAAAGAGGTAAGAGCATTAAAAAGCAAACTAAACACTCATTATGGGTTCTGAGATCACTACCTAAGAAAACTCCTGATAAATTAATAGGTGAGAAATATTACCTGCCAGGAGATGTGGAGGTAGGACTTGAATTTCCAACATGATGCTGGGAATATGACAAACTAACATCCTGTGACATGTGGCTACTTCCTAAAATAAAACAATTTTAGAGATTCTTCTTGACTGGAAATTTTCTCTCCCACCCCAAATCACTCCAAAAAAGGTAGACATAGGCTAAAAGATAACTTTAGTAGACCGCTTTAAGGTTTCATCAGAGTGAAAATTCTAAGTGTTTATTAGCAGATATATCCAAAACAAATGGTCCAAACTAAGGTAATATCTGATGTATAAATATGCACTCTGGCCAGAATATTCTGATCCTCAGTTTTATTAAATTTTAAGAATGGATACATGCAAAATTTCATTCTCACATGATCAAGAACCAAAATTTTAAAAAGTAAATTACAAAGCAGCCAGGAAAAGTATTTTCAGAAAACAATTATTCTTGCTTCTTTGGGAGCATGGACCCAAACCCAAACCTTTGTAGCAATCAACTTTGTGTTCTTTTCACTAACCCAAACTGAAAATTTAAACTTAGTTTTAAAATTACAACCTTCTAAATCCATGTTATCAATGTTACCCACTTTCAGGGATACTAGTCCACTATTCACAAAGCTTCAAGTATTTTCATCCATAAAAGTTTCTTTAAAACTGAATAATAAAGTTTAAAAAAAAAGCAGCAAATAATCCCTCTCCCCAAACAACGCCAGAATAGTAGTTACCTGATCTAAACTGAATTTTGATGGGCCTTCCAAAAAGTTTGATCCCATTAAGTAGGTTCATTGCATAAGGAACAGATACTTCATGTTTGAAATTCACAAATGCAAACTGCTTTGGTTTACCATCCTTATCTTTTGGAATTTTCACTTTTATTACTGGTCCAGCCTATAGACAAAAATGAGTTTATAATTTAAGTAAGGCAATTTCAGAAACATATTCAAATTTTACAAAGTTCTAAAAACAAAAGAAATGTCATCAGGAACTCAAACAAACAGATGCACACATCTTTCCATCTTGATTACCATAAAGATCCTACAGATACACTACTGAAGAATAAATGAATTTATCTGGGGGAAGGGAGCCCTTAAGGAACTAGAAACACAATCACTGAATTTACAATTCTCAGCACTTTATGACTTTAACAGGGTGACCAACATCCATCATCTTCCCACTCCATGGAAACTGATATTATCAACAGCAGTTTTCTTGGACCAAAAAGTCACCCTTGTATGGATTAATCAAATTTACCGGTGGTTGGAGGATGGAACTGGAGGGTACAGGATACTTGGCATGTTTAACACATTTTAATACAGAATTCAATACAGAAACACCACAATGCCCCCTTTTCTGCAGGGTATTCGACTCGATTTTAAACATGTCAATGCTGCAGTTTCACTTTTTGGAAAAATTAATTGGAAAAGGGATACAGACAAGGGCACTGAGAAGTAATTTGTCGGACAAAACAAACACCAAGTGTCCTAAGGGGCGGAGGAGAAGAGGAGGAATAGAAAAATCTGCTCTATAAATGTCTGCTCCTTCTGTTGCACACCTGGAATTCATACAGTAATGCGTGTCAAGTGTAATTTTAAAACTTAAAAAGAAAAAACTGCTCGAGAGAACCTCCGCGAATGATACCCCTTTACGACCCGTGAACCCTGACCTCGGGAATCTCCACGGAGGGCCCCCGCCACCTTGAGTCCTGACTTCTGTGAACAAGGCGACCTCACCCAACGCCCCACGCGACCTCCAGGCCCCCGGCCCGGCTGGAGGGCGCCCGGACCGCGGGCCAGCACGAGAGAAGCGGGGACGGCCGCTGGCCGGGCCCCGGGCGAGCGGAACACGGAAGGAAGGCCGGTCCCCGCCGCTTACCTGGTGGAAAAGCTCGAAAAGGAGCTCCTCTGTCACTTTCGTTTCTAGGTTGCCCACAAACAGAGTGCGATCCGCTTCCGCCGCCGGCGCCCCCATCTCAGCGTCGCCCCCTCCCTAAATAAGGCCGAAGGGTCGCCGCTGACGCACCCACTGCGCACTCTCCAAATCCCGCGTCCTCGCGCTCCCGGGCGTCACCGACGTAAACGTCAATCACGCTCGCTCTCGGCCGGCGTCGACGTGCGCTGACGGAGTGCGCATGCTCGTGAGCCGAGCGCTCGTCAAAGCCGCTTCCTGAGCGGCCGCGGCTCCTATGAGGGCTTGTGATGCAGTCGGTCTCCGTGCCCGAGGCGGGCTGGACTGATCCGTGGGGCCGCGGAGGGCCTGCTCTGACCGAGGGGCGTCAGGCAGACACAGCGGGCGGTGTTTGAAGATGGCCTTAAACTACGCGTCCCTGTGCGCCGGCGATCACGGGAACATGGTGGCCTACCGCTCTTCCCACGGCGACCTCGGCCCGTCGGCCTTGGCGTTGGTGTCCGGAGACAGCCTCCTCGTGGCCGGGCCCGCGACGACTCTCCCGGGCCCGACTCCTCGGCTGGCCGCACGGCCGAGCGTCCGGAGCGACAGCCGTCGGGCGGCAGGTGGCGGCTGGAGCCCCACGCGCTTTGCGAAGGGAAGGGACCCTGGTGGGCGGAGCCGAAGCCGGCAGGCGAGGTTCTCACCGTACCCGACCCCCGGGTTGAAGCTCGACCTCCGGCGGAGCGTGCTGCAGCAGCGCCTGGCCGCGTGCGGAGGGGTCGCCCCAGCCCACCTTCATGCCTAGACCGGGCCCGCCCCGCCCCGCCCCCAATAGCTGGTGAACAAGGCGTCTCTCAAACCCGTTCTTGGTGCAACCGCAGCCTTACTTTTAGAGGGATGTATTTTTGTTTTAGCATAAAAATACGTAGAAATCTTGTTAATGTAGCCCAGCACCGAGGGAAATTTTACTCTTGCTGAGTTCAGATGGTCTTAAGCGGCCAAAGTGACTAGTTCAGGAAGGAGGTAGCTTGTTTTCGTAGTCACAAAGCGGAGCTAATGGGATCACCCTTCCAGGAGGTCAATAATCCTTTTATTCACCGCTTGTGCTCTCCATTCCAACAATGGATCCGAATTTCTCTTTTCTCCACAAGTCCCTTCCCTGGCAGATTCTCCTACTTTGAGACTTGTAGCTGAGCTTCTCAACTGCCTACCTTTCTACCTCAACATTATTCCCTCTTCCTCTACTTCTGTGGGGAAAAGGAAATGCTTCAATGTATTGCTCTGGGTTACCGCCCCCGCCCCCATGGCCCAATACCCAATAATTCTATTATCTGGTCCTTAACATCTACCCTCTTCCATCTCCCTCCTTCACCTTTTCTTCAAGAATATATACAAGTTTCCATCTCAACCATACTAAAAACAAAAGCAAAATCTAAACCTTGCTACCCTTTCAAATTAAGTCAATTTACATTTCTTTGCCAAAGGCTCCCAATGAATTTTTGCCCTTATATTTGTCATTCTAATATTTGTATTCGATCCCATCTTCCTTAATCAAAATCTGTTGTCCCAAAATTAACAGAAATTGGTCTTAACAGCCTCCAGTTAGGGAGTTGGTCACCTCTTGAGCATCTTCCTTGGACTTCCTTGTTTGTCTTTCTCATTCAACCACTACCACAGTATATGAAGATCTCTGTGGTAAGCACTGTGGGTGAACTATACATAGTCTTGCCATCAAGGAGTACACTCTAGAAAGCCTAATCAATAGGTAATCTCCACACTAGACTCTTCATTGGGTGCAGTGATAAGAAGCATGGGTTGTGATGCCTTTCCATAGCGTTGCACTGTCTGTTCTTTTACATGACTAATCACCCCTTATTGGCTATTTTTGTTCTCCTAACCATAACATCCCTGGAGATTTAAAGGGTGGTATTGGAAGAAAGTGGATATTTGTGAGTGCTGGCTCTTTATGTAAGCAAGTCGACTAGCTTTTTCCCAGTGGACTCTTGTGATTAGTTCAATCAGCAAAATTACCACACACCACTGAATTGTTAGAACTACATCTTAAGAAGAATGTTGATAAACTAGGGAGCTTCCATAAGAGGGTCATTGATATAGTGAGAGGTCTAGAAACCAGGTCATAGGAAAAATATCTGAAAAAATAATAATAGCTACCTTTTATTGAGTGCTATGTGCAAGGTAGTGTGCTAATGGCATTTTTTTTAATCCTCACCTAGGGATATTTTTCTGTTTATCTTCAGATAGAATGAGGGAGAGAGAGAGAAACATTGATGTGAGAAAGATACATTTACAGGTTGCCTCCCACACAATCCTGACCAGGGCCAGGGACAAACCACAACCGGGGTACATGCCTTTGGCCGGAATCAAACCTGAGACTCACTGATCTGAGGGCCAACTCTCTAACCGCTGAGCCAAAGCGGCCAGGGCAACTATGGGCTTTTATTCAGTGTTTATTCAGGTATTGATTGAGATTTCATTCTGTGCCTGCTACTACCTGTGCTAGACACTTAGAATAAGGTTCTGAACAAGATAGATAAGGTCTCTGCTTTTATGGAGCTTTATATATGTTATTTAATACAACAGCCCATAAGGGAGATATTATACTTTCATTTCTTTTGCTGAGAAAGCGAGGCGCAAAGAGATTGAGTAAACTTTCCAAGGTCATACAGCTAGTAAAGGATAGAACCTCACGGCCTTTCAGCCTTGGTTTCTCATTTGAACCATGCGACCCAAATATGATTTGAGTAACTGTTTTCTTAATTATCCCGAGTAGTATATAACATACTATTCTAGATTTCTAAAAATATGCTCATTTGTAATATATGATGGGTGTCTTAGGCTGGGCATTATGATAATTCATGGTTGAGAATGGAATCCCAAAACTTTTATAAAGAGTTTTAGACTTGGAAAGAATAATAAAATTAAGGCTGAAGCGAAAAGATTTCCATAAAACTTAGAGATGCCTAATAGTGGAAAATATCACCTCATAAGGTAATGAATTAATTGCCCAAAGTTTAGATAGAGCCTGAATCCTGTCAAGTGTAAGTAGGACTAGCTGACTTCTTTCATTCTTTCCCATTTAACCTATAATTCTATGCTTTAAGAAATAAATGGTTAGCCCTGGCTAGTTTGGCTCAGCGGTTAGAGCGTCGGCCTGCGGTCCGGAGAGACCCAGGTTCGGTTCCCGCTAAGGGCGCGTACCTCGGTTGCAGTTTGTCCCCGGCCCTGGTTGGTCGTGCGGGTGGCAGCCACTCGAAGTGTCCCTTCACGTCGATGTTTCTCTCTCTCTCTCCCTCCCGCTCTATCTGTACAAAAAATGGAAAAATATCCTCGGGTGAGGATAAAAAAAAAAAAAAAAAAAAAAGAAATAAATGGTTAAAATTAGAAATGGGGAATGGGGCGGGGAGGATGAGTTCTAATACACAGGATGACCATATTTACTGTGCAGACCAGGACCCCTGAGAATGGAAGAGAGTGCTGTCAATTAAGCTGGGGCAACAGGCATATTAGGGCTGTCCAAGGCAGATTCGATGGATGACATAACCCAAGGAGAGGATACAGCATTAAATATGCCTTTTAAGCAGATTCTTTAGCTTTGAGGAAAGGAGGCTGAGACCTGTAAATGAAGGAACAAAAGTCTGGCGTAAAGGAGCACAAGGAAGGGAGGACCCAGTGGAGCGACTTATTTTTGTTCTGGATGATGGTGTGCATGTGCAAGGAAAAAAATGGTGTGAAAACATAAAATTAGTGTGGCTCAGTTGATAGGAGCATCATTCCATATACTGAAAGGTCAAGGGTTCAATTCCCAATCAGGTTGTGGGTTTGATCCCAGCCTGGTTGGGTTGCATGCAGGAGGCAACCCATTCCCCCCCCCCCCATCCCTCCCTTTCTTCCCCTCTCTAAAAATTAATGAAATGGTCCTCAGGTGATAATTTTAAAAATTAATTTAAAAAATTTACTGTGTATTGTTAGATAAGAGCAGAATCTTATTCACACAAATGCTCCATAATTTTTAAGTCTGAGGTAATAAATACAGTCAGCCCTCATTTATCACAGTTAATCAGTTCCAGACCCTACCACGATAAATTAATTTCCGCGAAGTAGGATTCTTTATTTATAAATCAAATATTTCACAGTTAGAGCATAGGAAACCTGTTTACGACCTTCTAAATATGTTTTTTAACATTATTAGCGCCCTCTAGACATGAAATAACACAATTTAGTCATTATTACACTCGTATTACCCAATATATTAGACAAAATAGAAAATAAGACATATTAGATGTTACAAATATTATTGTACATTTAATTACACAGTTTTTACACATAACCACTAACCTATGAAAATAGTGCAACTTGTTCAATGATGAAGCAATGAAGATGAAGAGATGTGCTGCACAGCAAAGAAGAGCAAGATTACTGCTCTGAAGGCACGACCTCAGTAGGATAGTCCTCAGGTGGTCCAGCATCTTCAGCAGGTGTGTCGTCGTCTTCCGCTGAAGGAGCACTAGGAGTGGGCAGTGGGTATCTTGGTGCACAGCTGAAGAACATTGTGACAGGTAGTCGCTGGCGCTCTTTGCATATGCGTGAGGAGGCTTTGTAGGGTTCTGTTGCTCCAAGTGCATTTCGGAACCGCAATGCACGCGTCATTTGTGGGTCCCATTCGCCAATCCTGACCTGTACTACCTTAATGGTTCTCACGACTTGCAAGAGACGCTCAAGTGTAAGGCCAACTTCCTCCTCCTGACCCCCAGGGACCTCTGGCTGCTCTTCCTTTTCCTCACTCACACAGACCTTGGCCTCATCCTTGAAAATGAATGTCCAGGAAGGCATTCTTTTCCAGAACAGTCCTGTTTTGTCCATATTGAACACCTGTTCTGGATGATACTCGCCATCCTTAAGGACCTTCTGGAACGTGTTGTTCACGTAGTCCTCTGCTGGAGGCTGGTCAGCAGAGGCAGCTTCTCCGTGGAGAATGACACTCTTCAGATGATACCCCCTCTGGAACTTCTCAAACCAACCCTTGCTTGCTGTGAAATCCATGAACATTGCAGAAGGGGGTCCTGGTTGAGGTTTGTCCGCCGCAAAGCGCTGATAGAGCTGCCTCGCCTTCTCCCAGATGACCAGCAAATCCAGTGGAATGTGTTTCTTGCGGCTGTCACTGATCCAAACGGCTAGGGCAGACTCCGTTTCACTATCAACTTATGACTTGTCACAACGTGCTTTGCTTCCTTGCTGAAAGAGACAGTGGCCGTTGCACGGATGTTCTTTTCATCTTTACAGATGGAGCGAATGGTAGACTCATTCAAGTCGTAATGGTGGGCAACCTCCACGATTTTCTTGCCATCTTCGATCGTACCCAAGAGTTTCACCTTCTCCTGGATGGTTAGCACCTTCTTCTGGTGCTTAGTTTCATTGTCAGAAGGCTTAGAAGAAGCAACACGTTTAGGAGCCATCGTGGAGCTTAGATAAAAGTTCTCAGAAATCGCAAACACTTGCAAAAGCAAAGATGCTTCCAATGCTTGGCGATGTAGAAGCATGTATGTGAGAAAGGAACTTACATGAGGCTGAGCCAATCAGTGGCCAGGATAGGAGAGGATAGGATAGCCAATCAGTGACCAGCACGCTCTGATTGGCTCGATTTCACCACACTCGCTTTTTTGGAAAAAAAGTTATTGCTCACACACAGGAGTGGTTGAGTGGTTGCACCTGGCACTAAAGGATTTGTGGGGGATGCTCGAATACATAGGCCTACAGTTCATATGTACAGTAATTTTAATTTTAATT